TGGATCAGGGGGTCACAGGTTCAAACCCCACTGCAGTCAGCATGTCGTTGTGTCCCTGGGAAAGACACTTCACCCCAAATTGCTCCTGTGGGGATTGTCCACAGTATTGAGTAAGTCGCTTTGGATAAAAGCGCCTAACAAGTGACATGTAATGTAATGTTCCTTCGTCTAACAAATTGTGTTTAAATGACACCTTTACTTTGAACAATCTGGGCCTTACAAATACTCCATTGTTTGCCATTTGTTCACATATAAAAACATCTATCAACACGTCTCCACGTCACCTGAGGGCTGATTTAAAGATGAAGAAACAGTCGGCCAATCAGAGCTTTGTACTGTAGGCAAAATGTAAAATACAGATCTTATCTTACTCTATCAACAAATACGTTTATAAGAAACTGTGAAAAACTTGGATGAGATTGAGCTGTCTAACCAGTTGTTAATTGATTTACAGAAACTACTTTCACTAAATGATGTAATTAAACTTTTCAAAGAAACTGTACGTTACCAATCCCTTCTCAGCGTGTCTCAAATGGCCCGTTCATGACTCATTTGAGTTTCTGAAAATCAGCATAATTTCCAACTCTCTGTGGTTCACATGCTTTCTTTGAAAAGCTGTAGAAATTAAAACGTTAAAAGGAGACATTGTGGATTTTATGTTAGAGCTCTACTGGCCCTCTAGTGATTACAAAACGAATGACTTTTGGATGGTTCAGTTACTAAATTGTTCGCTGAAGATAAAACATGTAAATCAGACAGCTTGTGTTTCTCTTTCCTTCAACTTAGGCTAGCAGTTTCCCCCCGCTTGCAGTCATTGTGCTAAGCTAGGCTAAACACATCTTTGAACTTCTGTTGTAAACGCGCAGAGAGGACATTTTAATACATCTTCTTATATAACTAAAGAAAATGTATATTGTGTCTCGTAAAATATGTTAATGTATTTTAGTTCAGTCTTGTATCCTGTTTTATTTTGTAGTAACCTTTCCTTCTTTTTGCAGATCACCTCACTTCCTCCCTTTGTGTGTTTTCCCTCCACTGTGATTGTCGACTCCGCCCTAATTGTCTGCACCTGTGCCCCCTTAGCCTGCCTATATATAGGCTGCATCTCACTTCGGTTAAATGGATTCCTTGCGTCCCTCACTTGCGTCGTTTCCCTGCGACTAGTCCCTCCCACCAGGGAAGCATGGAGAGACGCAAGGAAACCACGAGAAGCAGGGAAATGAGTTTTAAGAGCAATGGGACGTCGTTTCCTCCGGAGCGTCACGTGAAGCGACGTCCGTTTGTGATGACGCCGCACAGCTGATCGTCTGACAGCAGCCAGATCAGTGCATGCGCTGTATCGTCCAATCAGTGAGCGATAAACAGTAAGGGGGCGGGGCGAGTGTATGAGGATTTCACCGGAGGATGGTCTGGTAGTTCCTCGATTATCGCTCCTCTGTTATCACTCCTCGATCCTCGATCCTCCGGCAAAAATAAGGCCACTGGGACGCTACTCAAGATGGCGCAGACAAATCAACTTCCGGTGATACCGAGCCCGAGGAGCGAGGAAATGAAAAATAACCGAAGTGAGACGCACCCTATATATAGATCCTGTCTCCCTTGTCTTGTTGCCAGTTCGTTTCGTCCCATGTGCCAGACAGCCAGCGTCAAGTCCATGTCTTTCTGCTAAGAGCTAAGAGCCGAGTTTGGAATTTACTTTATCTTTTGCATTTTTTGGAACTACGTTGGTAACCTTTTCCTCGTAAGAGTGTTTTTTGTTATCTACCTGTTACCTCTACGGAGTGATTTTCTGTTGTGCATTTAGTGCCATTTTTCCAGTAAAGACTTTCTTTTGTACTTTGTTTGTGGCGTCGTGCTTTTGGGTAGTGATGGCGAGATGAAGCCTTATGAAGCTTTCCAGCCAATTGGTTCGCAAAAGGGTTCATCTCATGAGGCCTCGTTTGAACCCCCCTGTTGGTCAAAGTGTGTAAAACAGGCAGATTTGACATCTCAACAGTGTGCTCTATCTCATACCGAGTTCCCAATGAGTAAAGCCTTAGAATAACTCTAAACAACGAACATTAAAGTGGACCTATCATGCTATATTTGAATAATATAGTGTAGGACCATACCTATATAAGGCATATTTATACTTTTTTTTTTTCAAAATACCAAACAGATCATGCATTTTAGCCATGCCTCATTTTGCTCAATTTGACATTTTTTAGCTCTGTTTTTGCAAGGGCAGATTCTGTGAGAACAGCACCACCTACAGGCCTGGCATATGTACTACAGCGTCTCCAGCGCTTTCGAACGGCAATGGCCGTGGCTGTCTCCTCCTGATTGGTGGAGTTGGCCCAATAGCCGTAGCGCCACTGTCCTGACGTCAGGACAGTGTTCAAATCTGGATCAGTTTTTATCAGATCCGTTGCAGCCCCTTTTTTAGAGATTTGGGTATGGAGGAAAATAGAGAGGGTTGTGTTTTCTGACACTTGGTGAGTTCCCTGGAACACCGGGGACACATATTCATGTAGAAAAGATGTACAAAAGTGCATTTTGCATGACAGGTCCCCTTTAAATCATATTTTCATGTTAACAATATTGTATTTATTCCAGTTTAATGATTGTGATTAAAGAGCCTAAAGAGGCTGGTAAACATTGCAAAGAGGGATTTGTATTCCTTAATAATATTCGTAAACTTTACCATGTTGTAGCCTGAGAAAGGCTAAACCATATGAAAGAATACATTTATTCTACATTATCACATTTAGCTGTAGCTTTCATAAACAAACAAAAAAGACGTATTGACAAGTAGTTGAACCAGGGACCCTGCGGTTGAGGGTCAACTGCTTTCCAGCTGAGCCACAGCCCACACACTGAATCTACCTGAAAACACTTTATTCTATGTATTCCTGTATTTATTCATTTATTTATTTATTCATGTTTTTATTCCTACAGTACACTTATTTATGCTTTTATTTATTTATACTTATGACATGTTCCGACCTCTATATAAGTGAGGGTCTGAGCTCTCTTCATTCCACCGTGTCACCGGGCCCGGGTACCGGAGGGGTAATATCGTTCTTATTATACATCCATGGGTAATATGAGCGTTGTGGTTCAACCGATCTAAAGCACTTTCTGAAGCAGTCACGTGGTATTGACAGGCAGCGAGGCTTCGTTTGTCATCAGTGACGTCACTGGCCCAAAACGATACAAGCCTCGATCCAAGCTTCACAAAAAGCTTCGGGGATTACTCGACACACGCTCCGAAGCCTCGGCGCAATACGTAACATCACTACTTTTGGGTTCATACTGGGTTGCCTAGTCGTGACAATGTACAGTATGTCAATAATTACTAAACTGAAACCTTGGCACTTAATGTTGAAGAAAATAAACATAATCCAAAATATAATGAAGTGTAGAATATCAGAAATGTATGAATTTGCTGCTGCTAGTTTAGGCTGTGGTACTTTTAAATATACTTTATAAAACCGAGCAATTTAGGCCCCTTTAGGAAGAATTGTCTCAAAGATTACTTCTTATGTTGCCCCTAAACTTTAATTTCTCAACTGAACTTAAACTCAAAATACTGTTGAAGTTTAACAAGTTAGGGTCCCATAAAAGTATAACTTGTTTTAAATGTAAGTTATTTAATTTTAAATAATATTCAATGCTTTTAGGGAATTACTTGGCAAGTAGAGATTTAAATATTGGCAGGAGTTTAACTTATGTAGCGATTAAAGACATGAAAACAGGCACCTTTGATTGTTCATGTTGATGTTGAGTTATATCACTTGTTCATCCATACTGATCATCTGTGTGTTTTCTTCCTGTATTTTCCTGCCTGTGTACATGACATAAGCTGCTCATAACCAATTGCCCCTTGCAGGATTAATAAAGTTGTTGATTGATTGATTGATTGTATGAAATGTTTAATAGAAAAAATGTGTAACTATTAATTGGAAAAAATGCAATTAAATGTAGTTATAAATATTGAACCAACGTTCAGAATTGTTGTGCTACCGATGTTGGTGAGTGCTTATGTCTAGAGTATACCCAACCTTTGGATAGACTGTAACTGTTCATTTAAATGGGTGCGCTATCATGAGAAATGCTTCCTGATTCTAACAGCGCAGGGAAAACAAACAACAAGAGTGGCCATTTTGAATTCAACTCATTATTGCAGTAAAACTGGTACAGAGTAACAGATTACAAAGCTCATGGCACAGTCACTGAAAAAGAGAAATGAGGCATGTATGTACAACAAGGGAGAAAAGAAACAAAGGTATCAATTTGGCTAATAGAAACATCAGGGGTAACATAAAAATGAAATACTATAATTCGGGAGATGACTTGATTATACAACAAAGAGAAAATACAAAATGAAGCATCGCAAAAATAACATTACGTAAAAAATACATTTAGCACTTACACTGACAGATTCAATCCTAGTGTTTTACCTAAAGGTCCGATTCAAAGCAGCTTTTCCTTTTAACAAAAAAGCTTGATTGATTGAAACTGCCTTGCACATGATCTGATAAATTTTTGGGGAAATAGCTGATAAGATTGTTTGCCGATGACCTGCTTTTTTTATATTAGTGGCGCTCCAATCTTTTACAACATTTTCATATATTAATCTTGAATTAGGTGCTAAGGGGGTTTCATTTTATTAACATTTACAACCCATCGTGAAGAGAATAAATGCACAGGAGTCAGAGCCAGCCCAAATCTACCAGGTTAACAAAGTATTAGAATATGTGAACAGTCTTTGGATATTTCAGTTAAAGGTGGGGTAGGTAAGTTTGAGAAACCGGCTCGAGATCGCTAGAATTTGAAAATACACAACCGGAGAAAATCTGCCACTTCCTTACAGAGCCCCTCCTCCAACACACACGAACGCGCACATGACCAATGAGGGCACGAGATAAGTTTGTGCACAGATGGAAGGCTGACAGGCAGGTAGGCCATCCAGTTGTTTTAGCCGGGCCGGCTAAAATGATTGGTCGTACTTTTTACAGTATTACGGCTTCCACAGATGACATTTTTTTATGGATTTTTTGTCAAAGCACTTAAGATATTCATTGCTATCGGGATGTTAAGAGCATTCCATGGAATATAACAAAAAGTGTATCTCGAGCCGGTTTCTCAAACTTACCTACCCCACCTTTAAGTTTTTTATAGCTACTTCTGAAACAGGTTAGTTATTTGTTATAACCAATTTGTATTTTTGTTATGCTTTTTGATGATCACAATATCATTTTTGAGGTACATAACAGAATCAGGTAGCGTATTTTGCAGTTATCGTACAATACCTGTGTTCTTGTTAATTTGCTTTTACACTTTCTCTAAGGTTTGCTTTTTTTTGTCAGTGACCAGTGCGTTTTTTTCTTATGAAAATCGAAATTATTTTGTAATGTGCCGCTAAAAAGGCCCCAATCCGGCTCTGACACAAGTGATGCTTGGTGCAACCCAAGAGAATAATTTGACTTCCACTTCAGATGGTCAACCTAAACCACATACAGAACTGACTCATACTAACAGTTGGCTCCTGGCTACTGTAACGGGACGAATACAAAATCACTAAAAATGGAAAACAAGATCATCATCATCATCATCATCATCATCATCATCATCATCGTCGCCCCTCACTGGCAAGTCTTCACCCCACAGAAAAAAAGTTTTATGACTATTTACACAATTCTCTTCAAAAAATACATTTAAAAATGGTAATGTCATGAGGCATGGAGAATAAAACAAATATCATATATCTTTTATGTTTTCGGATTCCTCCCATGAACCCCACAGATATAAACATAATGTTTGAAACAATAAAAAAAAAAATGATTCTGAACTTTTGACCGCACTACATTTTCAATGTGACACATTTTTTCAACACACACTGAATTTTACTTTTTCATATTTTAACAAAAAAACCGATACAACATATTTCTAAAACACAAAATAACAACAGTCTACATGTAAAAATATAACTTTTACATACACAATTTCAAAATAATGGTAAAGTTTGCCATTTTGTTGCATACAATTTACAAACGTCTGTGTGTTGTTGCCTTGGATAGAGAGCAGTGAATGGAGCTGATGACGCTCCGGTCCCATTTTTGTCCTGCGCAGGATGCCGTACTAGTCAGAGGGTGTTGTTATGGCAACAACAGAGAACACAACAAAGTCAGTTGAACATTTCGTAACACTGAAGGGCCTTTCCAACGTCTGCCAGTTCAATCTTTGAGAAAATAAGTCCTCAAGCAAACACTCCTCTGGAAAATAAAATAAAAAAAAATAACAGAAAAAATGGCACCCCTCCTTATATATCGTATATATTTTTTTGTACATCTATATATAGATTGATTTATTCAAATAGATTCTTTTCCAGTTTCCGTGCCTTCCTGTCGTTTGGGTAGCATTTAAAAACGCATCAAAAATGAGCACGGACAGAAACGGTGCTGTCAGATAGCTAATTGTGTTTTTTGTTTGTTTTTGTTTTTGTTTTTTTTACATTTTCTATAATAGACATGTAAACCAGAACAGACAAAGAAAAAGTAATAAGAAAAAAGATTCTTCTTAAAAAAGAGAGAGAGAGAGGAAAAAGAAAATCTGTTTTACAACATACGACCACACACTTTGTACTGAAGACTACATTGGCTTACGAACAAGCCGATCAAATATTGATAAAAAGCTGATAAGCTATAATACAAGAAGAGACGCGTTGTTCACCATGGAAACAGTGCTGGGGCTAGGACCAGGGGGGGTATGGAAAACTGGGGGGGGGGGGGGGGGGGATAGGGACTTGTCCTGCTAAATCAAGCGTCTGTCTCATTGGCTCAGAGCCAGAACAGGCTGTCTACTTACATATAAGCGTACAGTACATTAAATACAGTTTAGTTTTTTTTATCCAAAAAATACTTTTTTTTCCTTTTTAGCTTTTTTTAAATTCCCAGGTCTGGTAAAAAACCTGACTGCATAGAACCTAATGACTAAGAACAGGTTTCCCTAAGCTTGCATCCTATTAAAAGACCAGTTTAATGTCCTCCTCTGGCAACTCGAATGATATGAACTCTAAAAGGCACATTGGTAGTGTGAATGTTCAAATTGCATCTGCGGGTCTGCTTGGGGGGGGGGGGAGAGGGGCTCGGGCTCTGGTTTAGGGATCATAAGGCTAGGGTCAGCAGAGAAGACAGAACTAGGACTGGATATAAAACACAGGCCTGGATTGAGAGAGGATCAAACTGGGGCGAAAGTGAAAGGGGACTTTCAGATTAAAACAAGAAAACAATGGAAGTTCTTGCAGCTATTCCGAATAACTTCACCTGTTGGAGGGGCGTACACCTTGATACTTAGCAATGCAACAAACTTTAAGGTTTTGTTAATGACCTATCCTAACCTTTTACAGTTTTCTAAAGTTCTATCACAAAGCAACCCTTTGTCTGAAGTAACATATTTATTAGTGGTTTGGCTCGCATATTGGATTTGCCTCAGACAATGGTGTCACTTGATACATGTATATTGAGCAAAACCCATGCTGGACTGATACCAGACTCACAAGGAATGACACAGGAGTATACTGGTTTTATTTTGAGGGCCATGACTGGCTGAAAGTGTCTGAGGGCTAACCCTAACCCTAACCCTAACTGTAGCGGTCTGTTTACATTTGGTCCCATGGCTAAGGAGCGCAACTAGTTTTGTTTCTGAACAAGCTTAGCTCGTCTAAACCCAAACAGGACAGAAAGTAGTCTTCCAAAATCAAAAATCCAATTGGAACTGTGGGATATTTAAGTATACTTGATTCTCTAGTTTCTACAATGCTATGCAGAAAACAAGACTCAAGGTTTTAGAAATGTTCAAGAATGCATCGATGCAACTGGATTGCAAGGTCAAGGAAATGTAAGGTCCCAGTAACAAACATCTCAACTACAATGAACCTGTCAGTTATCTGCAAGACGGAACATTTCGATCAGATAGTCCCCGAAGGTCGTACTCAGGGAGGGGGAGAAGTCTAAGAGGGTAGAAGTTTAGGGTTATGATTGGTGAGATACAAATCCAGGGAATACAGGAATCTAATAAATCCAATACAGGAATGCTTTGACTTCTGCTGCTTGGCCCCCAGAAGAAAGTATTCACCCTGACGATTGTTCCCTTGCTTCCCCAATAGCTTCATTATAATTTAGACCTCTCATTTCTATTGTCCATACTCTCCCTTCTATTAGTAGCTCATGGGGATGTTGACCCACTTAATTCCTTTCGCCTCTTATGACTCCCACAACTCTAATGGTTCAGGACTTGGGACTTCCAGAACCACTCGATTCAAGTAGAGCATTGGTGATTCAGGGAATGTGCTAAACATGGAATAGAAATCACTTCAGTGCTCAGTCCAGCCCTCTTCCCTCTAATCCAGTCATCCATGTATCATTTGTATGATCTCACCATGCTCTCAACCATCTGCCCGGTAATCTTTTGATTTAAAAAAAGGCCTGTACATAATTTTAAACTCTGCTAACTCTGCACCATGTTGACGAATATCTAACAAAGGACTCGGTGTGTTTCCTACTCTTTCTTTCTGGCCTCAAAGACCCCAACAATCCTTAACAAAGATGTCAATAGAAGTATTTTCTTCCTGCCACGTCTAAGAGTACAGTTCTTAATTACTGCATGATTCTTTCTTCTTTTTTGATTTCTGTAATTCCTCTACCTCTAATAATTTAAACACCCCGGTCCGCCTGGAGTCACTCGCTGATTGATTGGTTGAATAACTGATTGATTTTTTAAGTATTCTCTTCCTTCCAGAAAATACACTCTACAACTGTTCAGCCTTTTTGAAATTGTGGTCATCCTAAAAGGTTTGAAGTAGGTACAATTTAGTTGTTTCGTAAACAAAGTCAACTTGTCAACACTGCTAAAAATACATAAACACGTTCACGTTTTTTTTATCTAAGGTGAATGTTAGTAGGTTAGGAGGGAATGCATTAGAAGGGGAAGAACGAGTTGCCCATGTTTTTGCTGTTTAGCCCCGTTTGATTCTAGTTATCTATGATAGTCAAAAAGCGCTTGCAAACTTAATTTCTGCTTGAATGACACGGCATATCAGGACCTAATATTGTTTACATTGTACTTTAATCTGTGATGTGTGACTAGTAAGGGGATGTATGAGTGGGCCGCTTGCTTCTGTGATTCTTTCTGGATTTTCCGGTTCTTTTTTAATTTCTCTTGCTTTGCTTCTCCGTGTGTTTCTATCTGACTGGTTGGCATCCAAGAGGAGATCAGGCACAGCTTAATCCACAGTGTGGCGTTAGATTGCCATTCAGTCAGAGACGCGCTGCATTCAAGAACAGCTGCGCAATGTTGCTTTAAAGAAAACAAAAATTCTTTAACACTTTGTGATATGTTTTGCTCCGTTCTGAACAACTTGCTCCAACACAAACCCTCCAAACTCCCTGCGTCCAGTTGCCCTTTTTTTGACAAGTTCTTTGTCCTTTTTTGTCCTTTTTGTCGTATATATATATACTATATATAGAACCATTTTGTTCATTAAAACTGGGAATGCTGATAAAACAAGAAGTACAAGAAGAAGAATTTCTCGGATGATGTGATTCCAAAGAAGTTTGTCCATTGCTGTCACTTTGTGTCAGAAGCTCCCACTGACGGCCACTTTGCAGCAGCCATGTTTACGGCGGCCATTGAACGTCTCCACAAAGTAGCATCTAGTTCACTTCGGCTGGAGATGCAAAGTGACAAAAGCGACTAACGTGACGCTGTAGTTCGTTTTCCCGAAAGAAGAAGAAGACGAAGGTGAAGAGCAGGATAAGAGACAGACAAGAGGAGAGAAGGAGGCTGATCTGATTGGTCAGCCCGAAGATCAAGAGAATCTGATTGGTCAGGCTTAAGCAACAACGTGGTTGATCGATTGCAGGGAAACGCTGTCAGAGGAAGTGGTCACTCATCATCTTGATGAACTCTGGCACCTTTGACCTGAAAAGTATATAAACAATTAAAGGAACAGGGGATTAGGAGGGACATTAACTTACCGTACAATCAAACACCTATTTTAACTGTAAGAGTAGCTCTAACAGTGGCACCTAAAAAAAAAACATTATTTAGCAGACATAAGTAAATGTACTAAAAGTACACAAATCATTTGTGATTAATATATAAATGACTTAACAAAAATATATTTCAATCAACATAAAAATTGATATATACTGTAATCCAAAAAAATTACAAACTGCTTTTCATGTCTAAACATCTAAAAACATAATATTGATGCAAATAAATAGGTATTTAATTACATGTGCATTTAACATTTTCAATGTTTTAAGAGCATAGAACATTGAAAACACACACACTGTCACACGTAAAAATCACACTTACTTCCAATCTGTTGTTAAAATGTACCCGGACCAGAAAGAAACTCAAGTTCTGGCCTGTATTTTTAGACCTTCTGAATTATCAGCTCTTCCAGATTTTAACTGTCAAGAACTAAACAAAAACCCTGTCCAAAAACATTCAAGTTTTAAAATATATTTGACCTATATACTGTAGTATTCGGTCAACATGTTTTCTGTGTAAGTTATAACCTTTTTTCTGCAATAGAGTAGACAAATAATGCAACTGCAAGAATAAAATGTGAATTCTGATTGTTGAGTCATCAGACAAACATTTGAATAAAAGGTTGTCATCAGTTAATCTAAAGTGTAAAATAGTTCTTTGACTTTACGTTACTTCGACTTTCACATATGTTTGAATGACTGATTGGCTTTTTTTTTTCAGCATTTTGGTTTGCTTACAATAATTCTCTATGCAGGAAACAAATGGTTAAACAGTACACAGACGACATGTTAAGTCATAATGATTTAAATATAACTTTTGACCCTTAAAGCATGAATGTAATATTCCAATTTGTTTTCATTGGGAGCCAACGTAACATTAGTTTCAATGGAGGCATGTTTACGTAGCCATCAATTTCATGGCAACTGAATGCTATAAAAAAAAAAGTCTTGAAGTTTCTGGTCTGGTTTTTAAATGTAAACTCTTTGGTTTGAGTTTAAGGTACAACAGCAGATTAGTTTATAAGTGAAACCTTCTGACAATTCAGGGGTTCAGGGAGGTGTTGCTGCGTTTTACATTTGTCCCAGGGGGTTGGACCCATCGCCCATGGTGGCGGCGGCGTGGTGAGCGGCGGCCAATGAGAGCGAAGCGCCGTCCGAGGACATGGAGCCCTTCTCCTCCTCGCGGCGCTTCAGACACGCTGCTTTGGGATTCAGGTTTCGCTCTGCACACATGGAGGAAGAGATTATTTCTGGTGATTACTGGCTCTGACTTAATCTTATTTTACCTGCCCCTTCTTAAAAAAAATAACAACAAATATGAAATAACCATAAAAAGTTAAATAAAAGCAATATTCTTTCAGTCACAATTGCTTACAAATACTGAAACATAAAAACACAATCAAAAGTCAACTTCATACTGTCCTTACTGTATTTTCTTTATGCTGTGTTAGCTAATAAGTATTGAAACTTTAACACAATCAACAGGCGCCAGTGGTTCCCTCTCCTGGAGCTCTTAGAGCACTACATGTGCTAAATGATATCTAACTTCTTGAACTATGATTCCTACCTTAAATTCCCTTTTAGCTCCAAAGACACAAGATGGCCAAACTCAAGCATTCAAACCAGTATTCCACAAACCAATGGGTGAGGTCCCATAGACTCAGTCCCCTTTTTAATACATTCTATATTTTGTTTACGGTGTTGTTTTCCTTTCCTGGATGCAGATGAGCAGCCTTCACCCTCCAACAATATTTTAACCTGGAGGAAAAATCTGAAACATTTGGATCCCAAACCCAGAGATGGTTCATGATGGAAGGATGGATAAAAGTGACGGTGCAGCTGCACCTGAAGAACGACAAACCTCAGACCAAGTTACTGAAACCGCACCAGGCCGTGGCCGTCATCAAAGTCTGATTTATGAATACTGGAAGTTAGGATGTTAGAAATCTTTTGTTTTAAGGTCACAAATGTCCCTGCAGACACAGTTTCTTATTGCATCAGGTTCAAGATTTGTGACCATTAACATGTGTCCGTCATTCTCTGGATTGCGCCTAAAAACTACAAATGTATTATTATTGTTACATTTAGTTGCTATGTATTTTATTTATTATTTGTATAACCATGTTAGATGAACAACAAGATGCATTATATTGTTGTGTTCTTTTAACTTTAGTATAATCATGATGAACTACCAGTCTAGGCGCAATAAATTAACATAGAAGAATAAAAGCAGGTACTGAGGTCGAAGGTCAGGCGTCTCTATATAAAACTGACCTCGGACTTGTTGCTCCAAACTGAGGATGACGGCCACGGCCTGGTGCAGTATCAGTAACTTAGTCTGAGGTTTGTCGCTCTTCAGGTGCAGCTGCACCATTTTTCCCAGCTCCTTGAACGCCTCGTTGATGTCGCGGACGCGTAGACGTTCCCGCGCATTGTTGGCCATCCTCCGTTCCCTTTCTCTCTCCATCTTCTGCTCCGGAGACAAGTCCTCGTCGTCTGGGTTGCTGCAGTGAAAAGCACAAAAGGCAGCAAGGGGAGAGGAAGCAGGGGGTGAGGGAAGGAGAGGAGGAGGATGGGAAGGTTTTGAGGGTTAGCTCTGAATACGAGGCATCACTTCTTTGAGAATATTGAGCATGGGCTCTACTCTGTTGTGTGAGAAACAGCTAAAACCAGGTTCAAGACCATGGAGCGACTGTCAACCAGGAACATCTCTGATTTGATAGAAAACAAGTATATTTTGTTGTATTTAGCTGCTTCTCATCACACTTAGTTACTTCATCAAAGTCCAAAGGCTGGTTCCCCAACAAATCACAGCTTTAAGACCTTCCTTGTGTCTCTTAGGATTCAAAAGATTGCTACATTTCAGTTTTCAATTCCTGTCCTATCAGGAAATGCTGACAGAAAATTGAGAATGAAAAAGCCCCGGAAAACTTGAGTTTGTATAAACCCAACATCTTGAGCAGTTACTACCCCCTAGAAGAACTTTTTTTCTCAATGAACAAGGAAGGTCTCTGGGCATGTAGGTGTTTTTGGTCAAAGCCTGTACCAGCCCAGCTGAGGGGTTTGATGAGAGTCAACGTCTGAGAGGAACCTGAACCATAGATCTTTACCTCTCAATGGACTTCAGGTCCTTGCTGTCCCCGTCCTCCTTCTTGGCGTCCAGGGACTTGCTGTCGTGGTGAAGGTTCTCGTCTCCCTCGTCCTCCGACTTGATCTCAGAGCTGACGGAGGAGGCGCTCTGACCCTGGTGGCCTCCGGACATGGCTGCAGGAAGAGGGGGGGGGGGGGGGGGGAAGATGAGGAAGGGTAAGAACGTGCACATTGAGGTATAAAATACATGACGACTTGTGACTGGTTTGTCTGGCCTTTTGTTTATCTTTCGGCAGGATTACATAAAAACATCTGGCCGATTTGAAAGAAACTTGACCCATACAATTTGGAAGCAGTTTTGAAATACATCGTGCACTATGACAGCATTAGTCATTGTTTCTAACATTTGATGTGACCTACTGTATGTCTAAGTTTAGTGACAAGCAGTCTTTGCAGTGGAAAGTTATTGTGCTCCATAAGCATCACAGGTGAAAGTAGCATTACACTTCTAGACAGTCGAAAAGCAGAAGTGGGTCCATTATTGTTTTATGTCATTGCAATCTCAAGTCCCGCAAAAACGAAACACAATGCAATGTTGAACAGGCCTGTGTTAGAAAAAGTTCTGAAATCAATGGAAATAATACAAGTTTAAAAAAACTGCATATTTATGTGGATAAAACAGCTAATTTAGGCAAGCAATGTTTCAAAAGAACATGTAAGGCGCTCAGTTTCCCGCTCATTCTGCAGACGTCTGAATGCAGATTTCTGTGCCGTCGCCCTTCAAGATGGCCGCATGGAGGAGTGGTGATGCACATGTGAGTCCTCTGTTCCTCTCTCTGACTCCTCAGCTGAACACAGCAGTCTTTATTTGACTTCTGTATGGATCCGACACTGGGACGCTGCCAACTTCGTTAACACAAAACACTCCGCTCTGTTCTCCACACACGGCCAACTGTCAGCCATTTTGAATCCCCGTCTGCCTGACTGAAGGCATTTTGTGACGGCCTGTGTTTGGTGTGTGTGTGTGTGTCATTCAACATACAATCGCTGTGTGTTTGTGCATAAATGGCAGCATTTATCACGGCTTTACACTGTGAAAAGTGACTTTGTATGTCTGACTGAAGCCAGACAGACACAAACTAACAATGGAAGGGACAAAAATACTTATCGAGGGCTATATATAAAAGATTATATCTTACCCAGAGTCCTTATTTTAATGATCCTATCTGTTTTTTGTCCTTGACGACACCGAATCAGCTGGATAACAGCAAATCAAATATAAGTGCCTGAATCTAATGACATTTTAAGTCGACATTGATGCGTGGACAAAATTCAGATTTTGCGTGTAACAAGTGACAGTTCGGTCTGATATTAGCCAAAGAGTGCAGAAGGGCTGAGAAAAAACGAATTACAATGTTGGACAAAACTGCCGCAAGTCCTGTCCCCCGATGATGATTAGCTAATTATTTGTCCTTCAGCGGATCATTGGCTCCATTGTTTTTCAACCTAGAAACAGCTGAGCCGATGTCAGACAAACATTAACCCTAACCCTAACCTAACCTAACTTAATAGAGTGGGTGGATTTAAAAAAGGATTGTCTTGTCACGGTCAATCAAATCTGATAAAACTACACAAACAGGGGTGACAGTTTTAAAAATGTAAAGTTAATAGATATTGCCTAAAGATGCGACCGTGGCTTATGCAGTATTCAACGTCATTGAGACATTTTGAATATTACGAACCACATTTTCTGGGGAATTGTTGTCGAACAGCTTTAGGTAGACTGCAGAGTACAACAGATTCAACATACAAATATTTTGGAAAATAAATCCTTTCACTTTGTTACTGTAGGTTTCATTTTGATTAAAACAGCCCACTATGATACGACCATATCAAAGGGAAATCGTATTGGATGTTCAATTGCCAACGTTTAGTGTGTGTGTAATTTGGATGAACTCACCCCACTGTGGAGTATGGGGATGTATATGTGAATATAACTTAAATCGGTACTGTTCATAATTATTTTTGAAATTGAGAGTGAGGGAGGAGGAAAACCACAGCTCTGCTACTGAGTTTGAAGTGTTTGCTGCCAAAACCATTTTAATACCCTCTATTTACAGCCTCCACTCGGTGGTGTGTGTGTGTGTGTGTGTGTGTGTGTGTGTGTGTGTGTGTGTGTGTGTGTGTGTGTGTGTGTGTGTGTGTGTGTGTGTGTGTGTGTGTGTGTGTGTGTGTGTGTGTGTGTGCGAGTATAAGGAACACATTCAGCCTGGGTGTGTGTGTTTCTCTCTCTCTCACCTCATTACACACTTGGCTCCGGCTGCCGCTGGCTGAACTTTTCTGCCAGCAGACTCATTTTCAGCCTTTAAAAACGAGCTCAGGGCTAATTTGCTCCACAGCACGCTCATATACACTTCTCCTCCTCCATATTCATATCACACACGCGCGCTATATTTATTTACCCTTCTCGGTGCAGTCCAGGCCTGCCAGCTGAGATCTGACACTGTGTGCGAGTCTGCAGGTTAACTCTCTGACCCTCAGTATCTCATCTTCATCACATTTTCATCTCTTGCTTTTCCCTTTTTACAGTTTTGTGTAACCTTTTATGTTTTGAATCATTTCCAATTGTTCCATCCTTTCCATTAATATTGCTTTTAATTAGATTTAGATGGAATTTGATTTGATATACTTTGTTGATTCCAAATTGGAAAATGGTTTTGTTACAGCGCCATGTTTACAATGCATTGCATGTGAGTTAAAAATATAATAAAATACATTAAAATGCATAAAAATGTATATAAACATATCAACAAATATTTAATTTATATATTTCTTTCTTCACTTCTCTTACTTCGAACATTTTGTTTTTCTTCTAAACATTTTAAAGGTGAGAACTGGATGGAAAATAATGGATATAATTTTATGCTGTTAAATTTCCCTCAAATATTTGCAATTATTTTATTGTCAATCAATGTTTTTTTTTTTTAACTTACTACCCATTCTTAGTATTCTGTCATCCTAATTATTTATTAAGTATTTTATTTTCCAGTCTATGTATTATATCCTATTTTCATTCTATGTCTAATGTCCTTTATTGATACACAAGAGAAAGACAGGTGCTGTACAAATGATATTGTGTTTTTTATCCCTTACTTTTTAACATTTTGTTATTACAATACAAGGTTGGAAAACTTAATTGAGTGTGATTGTGTGTGTTCACAAGTGCATGATGGGATACCAGTGGGATGGAAACACGCTTAGCACGAACAAAAACAACAGATGCTGATGCAGTTTATTCATCAGTATCCATTTCTTTTCCCTGCTCATCATTCACTAAATAAAAAATATAAAAAAACACTTTGATGGGGAGGGTTTCAATGTATACTGTTCCGTTATTGCAAAAGTGTACTACTCCCTGTAACTGCAAGTATATTTCATTGTAACTTGTGAAATGTTCTCAACTGTCTTCTAAATAAAGAATTGTAAAAATACTTTGACGAACTTGTCTTGTAATCTGTAAGTGTTTGAAGTACAAAAGAGTGATGTGACCCACGAAGCAGAAATACAGAATAACCCACAGAATCAGAAGTATATTAATCCTGGTGTTGTGGAGTGCCTCAGTGTGTCTCAGTGTGAGCGGTGTGTGAACATGGCGGAGGGTCTTACCGCGGTACGGGTCAGGCTGGTTGAGGTCCGGCGAGGTGGCCGACTGCCCCGCCAGCTGAGACCCTGGCCCCCCCATCGAGTGGCCCCCACGCAGAGGGCCCACACTGCTGCCGTCTTCTCTGTGAGAGCCTCCCTGCAAACAGAGAGGAAAGAGGGGTAAGGTTTTTTTTTTTTTAAAGAAAACATTGGCTAAAATTCTAACTTCTCTCTAACTCTTTCGGACTCACATTGGGTTCTGGTTTATTTTTTAGAAACGGTAATTCAAAATGTAATATAAAAAAAAAGAATAGTGCAATATTGGGACTGTTTTTCAGCAACGGATTAATCCTCATTTGATGGAAAAATACTTAAAATACTTAAATTATTCAATATTTAAGTATGTTTATTTTTTTTAAATGCTGTCCAATTCTTCTGTTTGCATTGAGAACATTAATAACAGACAGGTACAATTTGAATAAGAAGAATTCTCAACTAGAATAAGGTTACTGAAAAGTAGGCTACTCACTTGTCTTTTAGATTTGGAGCAAACAATACACACATGAAATGAAAATACAAATAACACAAACCAACTAATACATTTAGTATACCCATATGTGAAGAAAGAAAGAAAATGTCACTCTTCAGCATTAACAAGTAATTAAGAAATGATAAAGTGATCAAATCAACACTGGACAATAAATCTAATACTGTAATTGTCTTTTCCT